GATGACATCAGTCCACTCTGAGAAGTGTCCCTCAACAGCAACACGCTGTCTCCTGTTACCGAGAAAGGCCTGAAACCAGTGTAACAAGGGCCCATCAACTCCGCAAGCCTTCAGCTTCAGCAGGAGCCTCCTGTGCGGCACGCTGTCGAAGGCTTTGCGAAAATCAAGATAAATGACATCCACAGCACTGCGCTCGTCAACAGTTCTCAGCCAGTCTTCAATTACCACCAGCAGCTGCAGTGCACAGGATCGTCCAGGTCGAAACCCAAACTGGTGCTCAGACAGTACGTTCTCCGTTATCAGGTGATCCAGCAGAGCGTCCCTTACAAAAGACTCCAGCACCTTGCAGCAGATGGAGGTCAAGCTCACTGGGCGGTAGTTTCCAGGCAGACTCCGGTCACCAGCCTTAAAGATGGGCGCGATATTTGCAGCTCTCCAATCCGCCGGGAGCTCTGCGGAGTCCAGCGATTTCTGGAAGATTGTCTTCAGGAGGTGGCTTAGTGGGCTCGCCAGTTCCTTCAAGATCCGTGGGTGGAGCTCGTCTGGTCCTGGGGACTTGTTTATGTTCAGTGCCTCTAGTCTCTTCTTCACTTCTCGTGCAGATATCTCAACCTCAGTTAGTCTGGTACCGTTGAACCTGGAAGTAGCCTGTGGAGTATGTTGATCTTCAACAGTAAACACACCACTGAAGAAGTGACTGAGTGTCTCTGCCTTCTCTCTACCGCTGTGGGCTCTTGAGTTGTCCTCTCTCTTCAACTCTTCTACTCTTGCCTTCGTCTTGAGTTTAGACCTGACATACTTCCAAAAGCATTTAGGGTTCCTTGTGACATTCTTCGCCAGGTTGTTCTCATGTTGTCTTCTAAGTTTTCTTGACAGCTTCCTTAAGTCATTCTTTGCCCGTTTGAAATCCGCCAACGATCTTCCATCTCCAGAGCGGCGGTAGAGTCCATACAGATGGTCCTTCTTCCTCTTGGCTCGTATCAGCTTGTTGTTACTGTATGGTTGTCGCTTGTTCCTTACAGTCTTCATTGGTATGTACCTTGCTTCGAGACACTTTATCAATTCCTTTAGACAGTTCCAACCCTCTTCAACTCCTAGGTTCTGCACCCTATGACTTATATCTGATGTTTCAATATCATGGGCCATGCTTTCAAAATCCGCATTTCTCATATCCTTCACAAGAGCACGCTTCGGACATACATCAGCATAACATCTTATCTTGAAAATCAAGCAGTCATGGTGGCTGTTTCCAATAGGTGGCCGGTGGTTCAGGTCCTGTATCATGCTCTCTTCTGACGTCAAGACCAGGTCCAAGAGACTTGGTGTTCGGTTGGGCATGAAGTGGGTTGGTGAACACACATGTTGACTCAAGAAGCAGTGCTGGATGGTTTGGATGAACTTGTGCGTGTAGTGCTGGTCTCCTGCAGTTGACATTCCCAGACTCCAGTCAATTTCTCTGTAGTTGAAATCGCCAACTAGTACAAGGTGACTTGGCTGACTGTCACACACCTCCTCCAACAGGGTACACAGGGCCTCTGTGGATCTATGGCCGTCCCCGCTGGGGCTCCTGTACACAGCACCGAGCACTAACATGTCGCTGTTCCTCAACTTAAGCTTAACAAACACAGCTTCTTGAAAGACTGCCAAACTTGACCTCTGCTGGCCTTAGCTCACACCGTACCATGATTCCGACACCTCTTATGCTTAAGGTTAAGGTTAGGTTGATGAGCTTGGAGTAGACCAGGGGTCTATTTGGTGCTCATATCAAAGATTTGGGACTGGATTTTGCATGAACGGATGGGTTAGCAGGTTAACTGGTCAGACTTTGGTGGCCCAATGTTGGTCTAGTTTTCTTTTGAAGCTGTTGACTGACGCTGCTGCCACAACATGTTCAGGCAAGCTATTCCACGATGTTACGACTCTGTTGGCAAAAAACTTGTTTCTAAAATGATGCAATGTTCTCCTTTTCTTGAGTTTAAACGCATGACCTCTTGTTCTCGGATCCTCATGCAGTTCGAAGAATTGATGTCTGTCAATGCTTATCTTGCCAGTCATAATCTTGTACACTTCAATCAAATCTCCCCGGTGTAACCTATCCTTAATGCTCAATAGTTTCAATGTTGATAGTCGTTCTTGATATGTGAGTGACTTTAGAGCTTTGACGATCTTGGTGGCTCTTCTCTGTACTTTTTCCAGCTTCTGTAGGTCTTGTATCATATGAGGTCCCACTGCCTGTATACAATAATCTAAATGTGGGCGAACATAAGTTGTGTATAGCACTTTAAAGTTTCTTACAGTAACATTGCTGAAAGCCATCCTTAAAAACCTTAATGCCTTGTTGGCTTTTAAAGCAGCAGTCTGACAATGAAGTGTGGCCTTTAAATCTTCTGAGACAACTCCCAAGTCATGCTCCATTTTTGTTGTTTTCAAGACTCTAGGTGGGCTGTGAGGTTCTTTCATAACATATTCCTTGGCTGGGTTGGAGTGTCCACAATGCATGACTTTACACTTTTCAATATTGAACTTGAGCAACCATTCTGCAGACCATTTAGTAAGCTTGTCTAAATCACTTTGCAGCTCTGACACATCCGCATCATTCGAGATTGCATGGAATAGTTTTGTATCATCTGCAAATAGCTTGCATTTACTTTTGATAATCTTGGGAATCTCATTTATATAAATAACAAACAAGGTTGGACCCAGCACCGATCCTTGGGGTACTCCACTGACAACTCCTGTCCATGAAGAAGTACCACGGCCTACTGCGACTTGCTGTCTCCGATCACTCAAAAAGTCACCAATCCATTTGATCACGGAGCCTCTTATTCCATATGCATTCAATTTCTTGATGAGCCTCAAATGTGGAACCTTATCAAACGCCTTCTGATAATCTAGATATACAATGTCTATATCCTTGCCAGCATCTAGCCACTTTGTCAGCAACTCAAATGTCTTTAGTAGGTTGGTTTGACATGACTTTCCCTGTTGGAATCCATGCTGATGTTTGCTTATCAAATTATTGTCACTTAAATGTTTCTTTACATGCTTAAGAATCAGCCGCTCAAGAACTTTACAAGCTTGACTCGTTAAGCTCACTGGTCGGTAATTTTCAGCCTTGAGTTTACTACCCTTCTTGTAAATTGGTGTTACCTTTGCATCCTTCCATTCCTTTGGCAGTCTCCCTGTTTGAAGTGTTTTTCTATACAAGCTTGTCAATGGCTTCATTATACCTTCTGAGCATCGCTTAAACACTATAGCAGGGATCCCATCTGGACCAGCAGCTTTTCCCTCCACTAGGCATTGTAGTTGTCCTTGCACCTCTGACTCGGTTATCTCAATGCTTGTCAAAGCATGGTCATCACTTATCACATCAGGGAAATCTGGTAAGCTACTTTGGTTTTCTTTGACAAATACCGACTGAAAGAAAGCATTTAATACCTCAGCTGCTTCATTATCAGTTGTAGTCAGTGTTCCATTAGGTTGTTCAATGTTCAAGTGCTCCAACTTTTGGTTTTATCTTAAGCTGAGAGCGTATGTACTTGTGGATTTTCTGTGGGTCTTGCTTTCCTTCACTTGCAATCTGATCCTCGTATCTCCTTCTCGACTCCCTTAGCATTCTTGTGACTTTGTTTCTCTGGGCAGTGTAATGTTGGTGGCTGACCGGTGACCTCAATTGAGAGTACCTTTTCCACAGCTTGTATTTTGTTTTCACTTCTTTTGTGAGCTCTTTCGTCCACCATGGAGGTGTTTTATGTTTTTCTTTTTTCTTTTTTGAAAGTGGGACATATTTCTCAATACAAGTGACCACCACCTCTTTAATCTTGGTCCACATTGTATCAACATCCATGTTTTGAATGAAAGCCCAGTCAACTCTTTTTAATTCTTCATTCATGGCATCATACCTTCCTTTTCGAAAATTGCGCCTCAATGATGTTTCAGGGAGCTGTGCGGGTGAGTCGTCAGGCTGGAACTGATAGGTCCACGTAAGGACCAAATGGTCACTTTTCCCTAGTGGGGCAGTTCCTTCCACCTCATCGATAGCATACTCATGATTAGTAAGCACAAGGTCTAACTGCGAAGGGCTTTGACCAATCCTGAATCTAGTAGGAAAATCAACATGTTGCACCAAAAACAGATCTTGCACTACTTCATAGAACTGTGCTTGGCTTGAGTCTTCCGGTCCATCGACCTTACCCAAACTCCAATCTATCTGTGGGAAGTTAAAGTCACCCATGACTAGAACATGTTTCGCCTGCAGCTGTTTTGCTGACCTCAGGACACTGAGGAGCTGCTTGTCATTACCCATCTCACTACTAGGTGACCGATAACAAAGCCCCAACAACATTGACTCAGAGCCTGTCAGTCTGACTAGACACCATACTGACTCCTCAAAGGATAAATTGCTTAGTTCATTGCATTCAACCATTGGAAGATTGTCTTTAACAAATAATAACACTCCTCCTCCTTTCCTCCCATCTTCCCTGTCGTGTCTCACAGCCTGATGATACCCATCTAATGCCACTTCTTCTTTCATCCACACTTCTGTGACTACAACTATATGTGGCTGCTCACTCTGAACACGTGCACGGAATTCATCCAACTTGTTCCGGAGGCTACATGCATTCGTGTACCAACATTTTAATCTACCTGTATTGTTGTGTTCGGGTATAGGGGGTGTGTACTTGGACCGCCTCTGCGGCCCCACCTCTGTGTGCCTGGGAGCGCCCCTGCCGACGCTCAGCTGATCGTGCGCGCCAAGCGGCATGACTGGCGCGGGCGACTAGGCGTGGCGCTCGCCATATTTGTTTAGTTTTGGAGGACTCTCTCGGCCCATTCGCACCAGCAGTAAATAAATCGCGTTTCTCTTAAGCTCTCTCTCACTCGAACCGTGAATCACGAACATAACATGGCGCGGTCAGTAGATGGTTCCGTGCGTGCGCGCAGTGATCGGTGTATCAGTGTATCAGTGATTAGTGTATAGCGCGCCGTGATCTGTGACGATGAGTGACATTGAGAAACTGACGCAGCTGCTCCTGCAGCAGGCGGAGCTGTCGGCGCAGCGGGAGCGAGACTCAGCGCAGCGCGAGGAGCGGCTCACTCAGATGGTGGAGCGACTGGTCGCCGACCGACAGCCACCCGCTACCGTCGCTGCCGACGATGCCTCGGCGGCGACAGCCGCCCGGACGTTGGCTGCCGCCCCGCCCGTGCGCCTGCCTGCTGCTGCAACGCCGGCGCCTCAGCTGTCGTCCTCCACATCCCTGCGCGACTTCGCTGTATGGAGGGAGAAGCTGGACGGGTACATGCTTCTGACCGGCGCGTCCGCGCTGCCCGTCACTGCCCAGAGAGCTGCCCTTCTCAGTCTTCTCGACGAAGATTGGCACCGGGTGCTGCGCTATGGACTGACGATAGCGGACGACTCTCCCCTCTCCGCGGTGGTAGACGCAATGGAGAGTCATCTCCGTAAGCAGCGCAGTGTCCTGGTCGACCGCCGTGCGTTCTACGCCCGTGTCCAGGAGCAGGGCGAGAATTTTGAGGAGTTTCTGTGCGAAGTGAAGGAGCTCGCGGCATTTTGCGACTTTTGCACACACTGTTACGACTCACGCCTGCGTGACAAGATTGTGTGTGGCCTGCGGGACGAGGAGACGGTGAAGCGTCTGTTGGAGGATCCGGGGCTGGACCTCAAGAAGACGGTGGACATCTGCCGTGCGTCAGAGAACGCCCGGGCTACCTGCTCCGACCTCCGCTCACCGACGGCGTCAGTGAGCCGTCTGTCGGCATACCGCCGTTCAAGGTCGCGCGATGCGCGCCCCGCGGCCCAACCCGGCGGGCGTTCCGCGGGTACGGCCGGCGTGCGCCGCCCCCAGGCGCGCCCCGCGGCCCAACCTGGCGGGCGCTCCGCGGGCGCGGCCGGCGCGCGCTGCTGCCGCTGCGGGCGGGCCGCCCACGCAGACCCGGCGGCGTGCCGCGCTACTAGCGCCATCTGCAACTCGTGTGGCCAGCGCGGCCACTTTGCAGTGGTGTGCGCCCAGGTGGCGCGCGAGAGCGCCGCTGCCCCCGCCGAGCGCGCAGCACCGGAGCGCGCGCGGCCCGCGGTGGGGCAGCCGTCAGAGCCGCGCATCTGCCGTGTCATCAGAGACGTCTACGTGAACGGCATCTCGACGCGGCCGACTCCCACTGTGACTGTCCGACTGTCTACGCCGGCTGGTGTGTTCACCGTGCCGGCCCGGGCCGACTCCGGCGCCGAGGCGACAGTCATCGGCGAAGACAGCCTGTCTTCCATCTGCGTGGAACCAGCGCAGTTGGAGCCCTGCATCGGCCAACCATTTTCAGCAGTAGGGAAACAGCCGCTCACCTGTGTCGGGTCGTTCCGGGCTACTCTGGAGCTGGGCGACCGATCGACCACCGCTGCCGTGTTCGTCATCAGGGAGCTGACTGGCCTGCTACTCAGCTGGTTCGACTGTGTGGCGCTGGGGATTCTGCCGAGGGATTTTCCGGCACAGATCCGGTCCGTCGAGGACGCACCGCGCCCTGCTGATGACGTCACGGCCTCTGTTGACGTCACATCCGCTGGTGACGTCACACCCTCTAATGACGTCACACCGTCTGCACCGCCGGCCGCTGCCGGCTCCGCTCGTAGCGCCAGCGGCCGCTCGGCCCCGTATGAGGCGCCGCGTGACAGGCCCTGTCCGGCCACCGGGACCGAGACGGGCGCGCCGGCGCCGCCGGCCGATGGACCCGGCCCGGCCGCCGGCCTCAGCGGTCCGCTGCCGGCCTGGGACAGCGACTCAGACCCACCAGAGGCGGTCCGTGCAGCTCATGCAGCCGCTCTGGTGGAGTGTTTCCCGCGTGTGTTCGGGCAAGATTCGACTCTTCGAGTAATGGACGGCGGTCCGATGACGATCGAACTCCGGCCCGACGCGTGTCCGACGTCGGTCACCGCTGCGAGACCGATCCCCTTCGCCTGGCGTGCCGAGGTAAAGGCGCAGCTGGACGACCTGCTGGACCGCGGCGTCATCGTCCCTGTGGACTACCCGACGGAATGGTGCCATCCCATTTCGTGCGTGCCGAAGAACCCGTCCGGGTTTCGACTCTGCGTGGACCTGACGGGACTCAACCGGTACGTGAATCGACCCACGTACCCCTGCCGGTCTCCTCACGATGCCGTGACGAGTCTGCCCGCCGGGCACCGGTGGATGTCGACTCTGGACGCCAAGATGGGCTACTTCCAGGTGCCGCTCGCTGAGTCAAGTCAGGACCTCACCTGCTTCATCACGCCGTGGGGCAGGTTCAAGTTCGTCCGCTGTCCGATGGGATGCAGTGCGTCTGGAGACGAGTACAACCGGCGCGGCGATGCCGCGCTCGGCGACATCCCAAACTGTGTCAAGATTGTCGACGACATCCTGGCCGTGGCACAGACGTACCGGCAGCACCTGCAGCAGGTGATCGAAATCCTCCGGCGCTGTGACGACCGAGGAATCACGCTGAACCCGCTGAAGTTCAAGTTCGCCCAGAATGAGGTCAAATTCTGCGGCTACAAGATCACCCCGGCCGGCTACACCACCGACAATGAAAAGGCGCGCGCCATCGCTGATTTCCCGAGACCGGAGAACGTCACCGACCTGCGGTCCTTCATGGGTCTGGTGAATCAGCTGAGCGGCCTCACACCGGAGCTGGCTGACTCGACTCAGGCCTTCAGAGACCTCCTCAAGTCGCGCCGGGTCTGGCGCTGGACTGAGCAGCACGAGGCAGCGTTTCTGCACACCAAGATTGTGCTGTCGTCACCGCCGGTGATGGCCTTCTTCGACCCCCAGCTGCCGACCGTGCTACAGACGGACGCTGCTAAAACCCGAGGACTGGGTTTTGCACTGCTCCAGAGGCACGGCGAGGACTGGCGTGTGGTCCAGTATGGTTCACGGTTCCTGACCGATACCGAGAGCCGATATGCTGTAATCGAGCTGGAGCTGGCTGCTGTACTCTGGGCCTGCAAGAAGTGCCATGTCTACCTGGCTGGCATGCCCCACTTCGACCTGGTGGTCGACCACCGACCGCTGGTGACCATCCTAAACTACAAGCAGCTCAACTCGATCGACAACCCGCGTCTGCAGCGGATGAGAGAGAAGTTGTTGGCCTACAGCTTCACCACCAGCTGGCAGAAGGGATCGAGTCACGTGATCCCAGACGCGCTCTCGCGAGCGCCCACCAGCGACCCCGCCGCTGATGACGACGGAGCGGTGGACACCGAGGACGACCCGCTGCACGCCAGCGTCATTGCCGCGCTGCAGGCCTCCGCTCGATCGGAGGAGGGCGCCCAGCTGGCTCCGCTGGTCGACTCCACACTGGAGAGAGTCCGCGCCGCCGCGGAGCGCGACACCGAGTACCAGACTCTCAGCGAGCTGATCCTGGCCGGATTCCCAGAGAACCGGCACGAGACGCCCCCTGCAGTACGAGCGTACTGGGGCGTGCGCCATCAGCTGGCCATCGACGGCGGACTGGTGGTCTACGGCGCTCGACTGGTCATCCCGTCCGCCCTCCGACGCGGTGTGCTGGAGAAACTCCACGAGTCACACCAGGGCGTTGATAGGACCAAGCGCCGTGCTCGGCTCAGTGTGTACTGGCCGGGCATCGACAAGCAGATTGCTGACACTGTCGCCGCCTGCGCTCAGTGCCGTCAGCGCCTGCCCAGCCACGCCCGGGAGCCGATGTGGCAGGAGGACGGCGCACCGACACGCGTCTTCGAGTCGGTCTCGGCCGACTACTTCTCCGCTGGAGGACACACGTACCTGGTGTACGTGGACCGGCTGTCCGGGTGGCCGTATGTCACAGTGTGTCCCCGCACGGCCTCGGCAGATCATCTGACGCGGCAGCTCCGACTGATGTTCTCGCAGACGGGCGTCCCGACCGTGTTCCGGTCAGACGGCGGACCCCAGTTTGCATCAGGCACGCTCCGCCGGTTCCTCCAGCGCTGGGACGTACGACATGAGATGTCGTCACCGCACTACCCGCGCGCTAACGGGCACGCGGAGGCCTGCGTGAAGACAGCGAAAAAGCTGGTGCTGGCTGCGTCCTCATCGGGCCGGCTCGACCAGGACCAACTGGACCGAAGTCTGCTCGAACTCCGTAACACGCCCCGAGCAGACGGGCGGTCGCCGGCACAGGTGCTGTTTGGTCACCCGCTTCGCTCTGGTGTTCCCACGCACCACCGCGCCTTCGCTCCTGAGTGGCAGCGGGCGGCCGATGTCTGCGAGGAAAAGGCTGCCGAGCTCCAGGAGCAGGCCGTCAGGTGCTACAACAAGAGCACGCGCCGGCTGTCACCGCTCAAGATCGGCAGCCGGGTCGACCTTCAAGACCCCGCCACCGGCCGATGGAACCGGATCGGAGTGATCGTGGGCGTCGGTCAGCGGCGCACGTACCTCGTCAAGACGGCCAGTGGCAGGGTCCTGTGGCGTAACCGCCGCTACCTGCGCCCATACCGGCCGCTTCTGACGGAACCCACCCCGCCTGTGGCTCCGTCCGCCCCGCGCCCGCCCGCTGCGGGTGCGCCTCAGCCGCCGCCGCCGCCGCCGCCGCCGCCAGCGCGCACCGCGGTCGCCGCCGAGAGGGCGGTCCGACCCGCCGCTAGTGCGCCGGCCGTGTGCCGCTCGTCGCCGGTGCGGTCACCCCAGGTGGAGACGGCCGCCGCCACTCTCCCGCGTCGTTCTCGACGGCAGCGCCGCGCTCCTGGTCGGCTCCGAGTTCAATGGGGTGCGACCTCGTATGCGGAGTGACTGTGAGACAACGTCGTGCATTGTTGTGTTTTTGTGTGTTTTTGACGACTGTTGTCTCGAGGGGGGATGTTGTGTTCGGGTATAGGGGGTGTGTACTTGGACCGCCTCTGCGGCCCCACCTCTGTGTGCCTGGGAGCGCCCCTGCCGACGCTCAGCTGATCGTGCGCGCCAAGCGGCATGACTGGCGCGGGCGACTAGGCGTGGCGCTCGCCATATTTGTTTAGTTTTGGAGGACTCTCTCGGCCCATTCGCACCAGCAGTAAATAAATCGCGTTTCTCTTAAGCTCTCTCTCACTCGAACCGTGAATCACGAACATAACATGTATGTGTGCTCCCTCTGCCTTTACTTCCTTCGGATGACTTTCCCTTGAAAAATCACATGAGTGTCTTTCCCTTTAGCTTCCAGCTCAGCCTTGAGTTTCTTTTGAACTTCCCTCTCTTCGTGACTGAGATCGCGGGTCAGATACACATTGGGGAATCCTTTGTCTTTAAGCTGGGTTCTTCTCTTAATTAGTACATCCACTTGCTCCTTGTTCTTCACTCTGACTAGCATCAGTCTTGGCTTCTGTTGAGGGTTGCCTCGATCACTACCTTCTGGCCTCTTTCCAAGCCGATATATCTTCTCTACTTGCACTTCATCTTGCTTTCCTAGAAGAGCACCTACTACTTTTTCAAACACCTCAGTGTCATGAGCTACCCGAACTTCTGCATCATCTGCCAAGCTTTCCTTGATGTTGTGCAAGATGATGTTCTGTTGTCTTTTCTCTTTTTCAAATTTCGCTTCAACAAGTCGTTTGATCCCTTCTGTGCTGCTTCCTTGCTTGTTGAGTGTTTCTTTTATTTGTTCTTGTTTTTCTCTTATCTCAGTACTCAGCTTTGTCTCCATGCTGCTGATTCTATTCTCTATCTGTTTCTGACAGTTGTCCTCAGTCTGGGATTCCTTGAATACCTTGATTATCTTTCTCTCTGTCTCTTCCAGTCGTTTCTCGATGTTTTTGCCTACCTGAATAACTGACATGAGGTTGGGTTTGCAATTTGTGCACAACCACAGAAAATCGTTGATGTGTTCGGACAGAGCCTCAAAGGCTTTAGTAGACAGCCCTTGACATCCTGGATGATACCACTCTTTGCATACATCACATATCACACTGTCCTCACCTGTGGTGATCCTGGTACCACACACTTTGACTCCGCCACTACATATAAACCTCTGTTTCTTTGATTTGCCACAGGGAGAAAATCCAATGGCCTTACCTCTGACAGTTCCTCTCTCTTCTGTGTCGCTATCTGTATCGCAATCACTCTCTTGCTCAGCAATCTTCACGTCTTCTTTGCTTCCTTCATTTGCAGGCGATTTTGGCGCACTTGTGACGCTTGCAGTTCTCCCGCCTTTTCCGATACCTTTCTTTGGGGGCATCTCTTACCTTGAGTCTATGCGACGACGATTTCTGGTTCACCCTTACTTGTAAATCAATTATCGGTGTGATATTTGCTACTTATAACTCTTAACAACAACACTGCTTCACCGCGGGTCGCCACGGCCTCGGCCCGCGACCACCAGTCTGTTTGACCTTGAACCAGTTGGCCTGCGTGTCTGGAGCGGAGGAGCCAAGGAGGAGCGGTCGGGAACACGTCCGTCGGGTAGGAGGGGCAGGAGAGAAATGTGCTTAGCAGTCCCAAATTCTCTAGTTCCGGATCAAAGTTAAGATATGTTGTGTAGTCTTCTCCAACTGAAAAGAATGACAGTGACAGTGGTCTTCGTTGCGCTTTAGGTACACACTCAGTGAGGACCACTATATCCGGCTTGTCATCTTCAATTCTCACCAACAGTTCATCCATCTTGTTTGGGAGCCCATCAATGTTAGTGTACATAACTTTTAAAACCTTAGGTACCTCAGCATGCAACACGTCACCCAGGTTTGTGCCATTTACACACACATTCTGCATAGGTGCTGTGAAATTGTTGTCATGCAGCATGGGACAGGTCACATTCACATTATCACTCCAGCATGCAGTTTGTAAAAGCGATTTGCAGGCAGCATGGGCAAGCTGGGCCCCATCCACACCTTCCATGCAAATATATCCTAGCAATATGTCTTTTACTCTCTCATTTAGTCAGACTGTACTCCCGTGATCAGCCCGATCACTCTGTCCTGCCTCAGGGTTTGGCTGCAGAATAACGACCCTTCCTCTCTGTATACGGACAGTTTTTCCTTCCTCTCGGAGCCTCTTCGCCTCAAGTCGCAGCTTGCGGTCCTTCTCCCTCTCCTCAGGGGTCCTGTCTGGAGAGAGGAACACCCCTCGGTACCTCTCACTGTCTCGCAGCTGTGGAGCCATCCTCAGTATGTCCCACTTTGTCCCTTCTTCGACCAGTGAAACTATCAGTGGTCGTGGTCGATCCTGCTGCCTTTTCCCTGCCCTGAAGACCTGCTTGATGTTGGTTGAGATGTGCAGCTCTTCCCGGATCATATTCTTAAATGCCTCAATGTCCTTCTCAGTTCTTCTTTTTGAGTCCTCGTCCACACTCTCTGGAAGGTTATGCACCACAATATTTTGCTTCCGCCTTTCCTTGTCAAAGAAGTCACCAACAGAAATAATGGTAAAGATGAGAAAGATCCAGATAAAGAAAGAGAAAGGAAAGGCTTAGATACTGATGATGGAGGATGGGCATTGAGCTGCTCTATCTCAGTGGTAATTGGAGCGTCAATGGGAAGTGAAAAAGACAATCAGCTGGGAGGGGCATGAAGTGTGGCAAGTGGTCCCACAGCCACCAGCAGACAAAGTGTGATGTAGAACAGGTAGCCTGTGGCTTAGGACATCTGTGACTGTTACTTAATCTTGAAGTCAGAGGTTAAAGTAGCTGATTTTGCTGCTTATAGCTCTGTAATGTCAGTTTAGACCCAGAGCATGCAACTTTATTTTAATACCTCAATGATTCATAGTTTTACTGTAAAATGCGTGAGTTTTTGTCAAACAAAGCCTTTGATTTTATTCAAAACATGTAATTTTATCACACAAGCCCCTTCTGAGGGCTCCTATGGCACACATAACGTGATTTTAATGTAGTGATCATAGTCACCCTGACGTCTGGGTGAGAATGATCAATTTTTTGGTAAAAAAATAAAATATTTATGATAAATTTCAAGGCATTTATTGTAATCAGTTAGATAGAGAATTGTCCAATTGGTATGATGAAACAGTTTCCAGAGTGAAATCTCAAGTGATATACAAGATATTGTACCAAACTGGTCAAAAGTGATACAAAGTCACCCCGGTTTACGGTATGGCATAACAAGATCAGCCTTTGCCCTATGAACGATCTTGTTTGATCATAAGACAGCACTGAATGTAATGTTCTATGGAATATCATTATATCTGTGATTAACATGGCAAAAAAACATGCACAAAATACTGAAGTGGGGCATCACGAGCCGCCAGCCGGAAAACAGACGTAAGTGACGCACTACTGAAATTTTGGTTTACGGCTGTTCTACGCTGAACGAACAAACATAAAGCGATTCTCAGACAAGGATACACTGCGTATTTGCAATAGACAGCTTGTGTATCAAACAAAAAGCTACAATTCCTCATAATCACAAAAATCCCATCCAAAGTCCAAACCTTACCAGTTACGCGCGCGTCGTAAACATCTACTTTTCACGCTTTGCCATTTAAGAATCTAAGCAGCTGACATAAATCGTTGTCTAAAACGCAGACAAATTAGGTACCTACCTCCCAAATTCAATCATGAATCATCTTTATCCGCCTATAATTTTTCGAAATGCTTAATTCTGTAATGCATGTCAATTTCTGATTAAAGTGCATCGATCGGCAGTTGTTTTGTTAATGCGTCAAAATTGGTTGAAAAACATGGCCGTTGCAGTTGAAATGGCCGGTAAGCAGTTGAAAAAGCATCTAAATCCTAAAATTTGCAGTTTCTAACCCTTACTCCCCCTATTTGCGATTTTGGGACTTTTGAGTGTAGGAACTTCGTGGCGTGGAATGAATGCCGTTCGAATTTTAAAAATCGGCCGGTTATATCTCTAGATATCAAGGGGGTCCTAAACAGCCCCCCTTGCCATTAACCCATTAATGCCGCTTGGGTCATATATGACCCAAAAGCAACATCTTAACATTTTTTCTAAATGGAGGCAAGTGTCACTTTGAGGAACTTGTGCGTGTGTTTTGTTGGATTTGAGGGTTCAGCGACGAGCGTCGGAGCCGCATAAAACTCGTGTGAGCTCGTCCACTGAAGTTTCTGGAGCCAAAGACGACGGGACTGCACAGCCGCCGGTCACTGGCAATGGCGCGCCGTCCCAAAAAGTAATATTATGTTATGTTTGCACTTAACTATCTATTGAATGATCGTCCACCTGGCATCTAAACTTGTCTGAAGAAGACATGATGTAGCTTTTTGCCCTTCTTTTCGCCATCGGATAACTTGTTTTCCTCGATGAATATCCTTGGGTCATAAATGACCCAGCCGGCAATAGTGTTGTCAATTTTCTCGTATGTTGAATACAAGGGTAGCAATTAATGATTATACGATTATTTATTTCTGGGGGTTGTGATCAGATCACAGTGGCGGATCCAAAGGAGGGGGTCATATGGGTCACTCAGGACTCCCCTGGGACCCAGGGGCACCATCGACCTATTAGGGGCACCACAGGCCTAGTGTTGCGATGTTGGGATATCATGAGCGGACCGGTTGTCCGGGGCCGTGATGCGGGGCGGGCCGGCGACTCGGCCGGCCGAGGTGCACCACGGGCCTGTCAGGGGTACCACAGGCTTGTTAGGGGCACCACAGGCCTGCAGGAGCACCATCGGCCTAGCAAGAGCACCACAGGTCTGTCAGGGGGCACCACAGACCTGCCAGGGGCACCAGCCAGAGGCCTGCCAGGGGCACCATCGACCTCACAGGGGCACCACCAGCCTCGCACGTGCACCTTGGGCTTGTAAAGGGCTCCACGGGCCTGTCGGGAGCACTTCAGGCTTGTCAGGGGCACCACAGTCCTGCCAGGACCCAGGGGCACCAGCGGCCTAGCAGGAGCACCACAGACCCGCCAGGGGCACCACAGGCCTGCCAGGGGCACCACAAACCTAGCAATGGCACCACAGACCTGTCAGGGGCTCCACAAGCCTGTCAGGGGCACCTCAGGCTTGTCAGGGCCCAGGGGCACCACAGTCCTTCCAGGGACACCACAGGCCCGTCAGGCCTATGGTGTCCCCTCTGGAGCACCAGAGGCCTAACAGGGGCACCACAGGCCTGCCAGTGGCACCAACGGCCTCGTCAATGAGACGTTGCAAAGCATTGCAATGCAGTGCCTCTTAATATTGTTTGGCTGAGACCGCTATACAGTATACACAATAAGGTATCTAGCTAAATCGGTTTTCGTGATAACTCCTTATTTGTGACTATGCCAATGCCGGTTGGGTCATTTATGACCCATACTTATAACTTGAGAACCGATGGAACAATTTTTTTAAGCTTGCACAGTTTTCTTACTGGGACCCGTGTGGCTAACATTTGTTAAGGACAACTAAAGAATCAAAAAATAAAAATTCCGGCATTAATGGGTTAATAGGGGCAGCCAGGAGCCTGCCACTAAAAGGGTTTGTGAATTGTGACAATTAAACTAAGATTTAGAAAGTGACAAGGAACTAGGAAGTCAAGTGCCAGCAAAATTGTGCAAAATCACGGAAATGATACGCAAAATTAGGGGAAAGTGGGGTAAGACGGGCACCCTTTGGAGCCATTTTTCGGCCGGTTAGAAACATCATAGAAACAGGAAACTGAGTGAAAACCTTTTTTAGACATTTTACTTCTATTTGCCAGAAGAATAGGGTAATGTGCCTAATTAGCGACCCTTTCCGATTTGCGACCTACCTCCCTACAGAAAAACTGGCAGGAGAAAACGGGATAAAAACATCGTCAAAAGGTCAGCCATACTTTGGTCATCAAATTAAATTATTTTACGGTTGTCGACGTTTTTGGTAGGACGTTTCAGGTGAGTTTAAATAAAAATGACGAGTTTCTTATCCAAAACGTGTGTGTTTGGGACCTCTCTGATGAAAAGCGATGCACATTAGGATGATGCACCTTTTTTATTTTGAATCGACATTCCTTTTTCAATTGATTGCCGTTTTCCCATAATGAATCGCTCCTAACTGTGCACAGCATGGCGGTTAAAAATGTGTCGCAACTCAAATTTCCTATTCACTGAAAAAAGTTTTTACCATCAATTTACTAAGTTACTAGCTTTGGTAAATTTTACCATCAGCCTACCATCATATTACTACCAGCCTACTATGGTGCTGAATACTATCCTGCCTTGACATGTTGATATTACCATGGTTACGTTTATCAGGGGTGGTTTTGTACCCCAGTTTACAAGGTGGTAACCACCTGAGGCTAGTAGATACCCTCGTAAGCTAATATTCCCTACCATAGTAAAATCAACCTTTCCACGGGCGGATCCAGCAGGTGAATTCGGCGATCAAGTCTCCTCCTTTCCATAGAGGTGTTTGCCAATTTTTGATATGTTGGAAGGAGCGTCATCCAAGGACTAGCTGAGACCCTGAGCAATTAATAGTTTTATGGACGAAAGGCCAGAAATTTCTTGCAACAGTTCCCTGGGTGTGCTTCTGCTGCTATGGTAAGGTATACCATGGCAACACCATGACAACACTACACCCTTACTAACAATCCACGTGCGTCTGACTCTGCTGCAGCGGCGCCGCCATGTCAGTTCCGGCCGCGCGCCGGCGTTGTGAAGGTGCTCCGTGGTTTTAAATATTTGAACGGTGATTGTGTGGGTGGTTAGCGTAGCTGACGGTGGAGGATACTCGGAAATAACAAGTAAGTCGTTGTATCTTCAGCATAATAATACTTATCTCACGAGTGCCATTTCCAGCAAAGATCGCAGCCTTTGTTTCGGTTCATGTTGTTGAATTTCCTTGAGACCCTGTTGGACCGGGTAGGGGGAGGGTGGTGGGGTGGGTATCATTGCGGGCATTTCCCAGCGTCGGAAATCAACGTGTTTTTTTATTTGTTAACCCACGCCTCACTGGGGTATGTGCTCTAACGCGCCCCACAGCACGTTACAGCACGTTACAGTGGGGGGGGGGGGGGGCTCCTAACTCCGAAACTACTGGGCCGATTGTCAAAATTCAAACGGCCCCTGGTAGCCCTGGAAATATTGTTGAGCGAAGCCTAATGTCATTGACCTCGAGGTCATCGATGACGTCACAGGTCAGGTCAAAGTAAAAATATCAGCGTCTTGGCACTCTGGGTGCCGGCCAACAAATCAGATCAGGCTCATTTTTTGTTTGCACACTCGTGAATATATGCGTAACATAACCTGAGGGTACCGAACTTGTACTTCGAATTTTTCAGGTCAAGGCCATCTCATCCCAGGTCACGAAAGCTTTATATCGTGCATCGGTGACGTGAGACATGTTTTATGGTTCATGTAGGCCATATATATCGAAATCAGTGTTGTATGTGTCAGTTTAGGCCATTTTAGCTGAATATAGCTGAGGTCAGGTCAGGTCACTTTAGGTCAAAAATGGTCAAATTTTGAAGTTGACATTTTTCAACAAAAAAGGTGTTTGTCAGATGAAGTTCACATATATTCAACGCATATGTGTTCAAACACATATAGACCCCGTTTCCATGGGCATCACTGATCCGGATCAGCAAACTTAAATCGTATTATATTTCTCGAACTCTTCGTTACATGATATAATTCCAAGTGGATTAGGCTTATATAATCAGTTAATCCCTTATTTTCATTTTCATATATTGTCTAACTATACTGGATTAGCTAATCCATTTTTACTGATCCGGATCAGTGATGCCCATGGAAACGTGGTCATATTCTGCTTTTTTTCATTCAGAAACGTATATGTAAAAAAATAAAAAATACAATTTCTGAGTTTTTATATTTATAATTTTCAAAATATTCAACATTTCGAAAGTCCGAAATCAGTTTGGTAGCCCTGTAGAGTCCACCCATGCAAAAAAAAGGATCTAGCTTAACCCTCAAGGCGGTGGGGGGGGGGGCATTTTTTGCATCCATCTTTAGTTTTTTTTTCGATATATCTCCAGAACCGCTGCGCCGATCTTCACCAAACTTTCAGTACCCTTTTGCACATTGTGACCAAATTTTTTTTCCAAAGGCTATGATAAGTTGGCCGCTACGTCGGAGTGACGTCATTTCTGCCATTGTCGACCAAAAAAAAAGCTTCGCGGGAAGAGCTGTCAGGTCTATAAATTTGATTATGCATAAAAATGTTCAAGACATGAAATGTGTAGAATTACCAGGGCTACTATACTGTTCTCTCGATTTTGTTTTTGAAGTTGACCCCAAAAATAAAAAGAAATAGATATAATAGCCAAAAAATCCCAAAAGTTTTTCGATTTTCGAAACAAACGGAATATATGTAATAGCCACTATGGACTTCTATTCACATTCCAAGTATTAGATCGATAACTCCTTTTTGCCAAGTTATAACAAAAAAAAACTGTTCAAAATTAATGACGTCAAATTTTCAAACTCGATTTTGGCAATTCTAGACCACAAAGCGCAAAACAAAGACCACCATTAGACTCGCCGTGACGAGTGGCATCGAATCAATACCAATTTTATGCGAAACTATCAACTTTGACCT